CCGCCAGTATGACGAGACTCATCCGATTGCACCTGGGGCCCATCGGTAAACACGCGCCCTAGGCGCTTGTAGACGGATTGCAAATTTGCAATCGCGTCACGCATCTCAGCCGAGATGTGTGCCCTTCCACAGAGCGAACTTAGGGAATACACGTCCCTATGAGCACGCTGCAAGTTGTCAACACAACTCGCACAAGGGTCTCCCCATGTGAGACAAGGAATGTCTGCCTCACTCGACAAAAAGTGCAACCGGTACCTTGCACAGGTTGGTGTTCGCTTTTCGAACCTGAGGCGTGTCGCCTCAAGTTTCTTAAGCCACCCTTCTCGTCCAAAATTCGTTACGTTTTGGACGAACGAGTTCCACGCAGCCAAAAGCGAGGCCTTGTCACGCTTTCGGTTGCTGTTGTACCATCGATGTCTAAGGAAGACATCGAGATAAAAGTCTTCCTCAGCGCGAAAGTTCTTCGCGCTGGAACTCAAGCCGTGAAGCTCGGTTGCATCGAATAAGGGTATTCGATGGTGTTGGCTTGTCTCGTGAGACAGGCTATTGATGAGTTGTTCGGGCAAACGCCACGGCTTCAACTCATCACGCTTCACAGTGGTACCCTTGTCGGTACCACGTCTCCCATATTGACGACGGATCACGCCATCGTCATCACGCTCGTTCGAAGAAGCACCAGTCGGCGGTGGTAAGGAGTAATACTCCTCACCACCCTGATCATGTCCATCATCACTGCCGAACAGACTGTGATGCAACTCACGAGTCCGTTCGTTCGGCAGTGGTCTTGGCGAATACTGAGGCGTCGCCGGTGATCGAGACGCCTCTGCAGCATTGCCCGAGTCAGACACGTCTGACTCGCCAGAGTAGATGACCTCTACATCAGGGTCATCGTGCGCACGCGGTGTGATACCGCGTGCACCTGCAGCACCTGTTGCTGCAGGCGGAGAAGGAGCAGCAGAAAACGAATCGTCTGCCGCAGAGGCTGGCACAGCAGCGGGCTGTGCGTGTCTTGAGTCACCCCGCATAGACATGTTAACTATGCGAGGTCGGGTGGGAAGTGAATGGATGGACCCAACAAGTGCTCACTGTCCCAATGGTGCCCAATGGGTGACTATCATTTAAGGGGAGGTGATGTAACGGGGCAGCCCGTTACATGAAAACTGTCATTTGAGAGACAATGACAATAAAGAATATTATGTTGAATATTCTTTTAACAATATCACCAATGGTGGTGATATTGATGGGTCGACCAAAGAATCTGCTCATCGGCTGATATCTTGACGATATCAACCCACCAATCGCCGCAAGACGCGCGCAATGAGTGGTGAGTAGACGTCGTCATACATTCAGTTAGATTAGTATAATTAAGTTAAGTCAAACAAAGAGACAGTAGTTAAAAGACTTAATTATATTAAAATAACAGTTCTACTTTTCCCTTATCTACGCTTCCTCGTTTGCCTCGTGTACGTCTGTCGGGTGCACCAAAACCATTGCGTTAAGTTCACGCAAGGGTGTGCCCCGTTACATTGACCATCCACGGAACTACGACGTGATATTGGGTGTGGTGAGACAAGAACCACCTGCAGTAACGCCATTATTTGGAATTTGTGCTAGCAGCAGCATAATTCGCATGCTACACGAAAACTTCGTGAACATTATGGTGTAGAAAGCACATACACACACTGTTGTTCAAGGAGACAAAGAGCACACTGAATGTAGGTGTCGACTATCTATCCAATTTACAAGCCTACTTCACACATCTTCAACAACGGTATTGTACTGAACGAGCTACTCACATACCAACGCACATGAAATTTTGGCCCGGTGGACTTGCTGATTGCCGACATGGCCAATATCCGTCAGTGAACGTATTTTCATGGAAGGCGTATTGAACGTCGCCCCTGCGTACCCTAGTTGCAACCATTCACTTGCCCTCATTGGTGTCATAAAAATGTATATGCTCGTAATGGGATCACCTCGTCACGATTGAAAACACCCACCAACATCAACTCAATGGTTGATCAAGCGAGACGAATGAGTATAAAAGTGCTCGACAAATTCTAGTCTCGACGTGAAAGTTGTCGTGCCTTGTGGGATTGCTGAACGCAGCACTGATCGAATAAGGTTGACGACAGAATGTTTCTGCTGTGATTAAAATGAACTCTCACAAACACAGTCTTTTATCACCAGCTTTTTGTGATATTGCAGTCAATCCAGTTTGTACAAATACAATCTCAAAGCACAAACGCAAAACTTTGCTGATTCAACGCGGCAAATGGGTTGTTACGCTGGAAGAATGTGTTTTCCTGTTGCGTCTCGCCGAGACATATCGTAATGTCCATATCTAACTCTGGACCCTTTATGTTTTAGTTTGGCTTTCGCCTCGAGAATTATTACAGCTACTATGAAGAGTTGTGCCTGTCAATAGCCGATCATGTACCTCAAAAACCTGTGAGATCACACCAACAGGAAGACGCCGATGCTTTACGCACTTTTATAGGTCACGAGACGCATCTTACGCTTGACCAGAAGAATATAGCGCCCTTGGCTAAGGATCACCGACTTATCGCTAGACAAGACTTGCGCGGTAGATTATATCGAGTTGACCGGCTCGTCACTAGGCAAGTCTTCACTCGCACCTTCTATTGGGATAGCCGACTCATTGCTAGGCAAGTCTCCCACGATGCCTTCGACTGGATTTTCCGTCTTGTAACTCGACAAATCTTCAACGGTACCTTCTATCAGGTATACTGGCTCGTTTGTTGACGAAGATTACACGGTACCGTCTCCATGTCACCAGCTCTAGTCGGAGTGTCTGATTCGTTTCACTGGTAGATAGCATGCCCACACCGAGCCGACTTGACTTATCGGCGCCATCAATCACTATCTGTGCAAGCTAGGCCTCTCGAGGTTCGACAGCAGCTATGATTGGCCCACGCATGGAATTACCGGAAGAGTGGCACACAAGTGGGGCATACACATTCTACTGCTGATGTACTAGTTTGCCCCTTATTCTTCTTCGTGGGACCACTTGTCGGGCCCTCCATCGCTCTCCTATTTTCCTATACAGGTACCTGATAAAATGGGTAGCCGATCTGCCTAGTCCTCGTCGTAAAGTGCGCACTTCGACGGGTGAGGCCTTGAAGGATAGGCCCTCTACAAGCTAGACTTCGATGAAATAGGCCTAGACAACTTATGTCTTGACGCGTAATGATGTGACTGACAGTTTTGATTCGTAAATTAGCCTCGATAAGCGTAATATAGATACTCACATGGACCCGTTTCTCTGCACCACACAATTTCTACCTCCAGATCATTCGTACATCGAAATTACATACATACATACATACATACATACATACATACATACATACATACATACATACATACATACATACATACATACATACATACATACATACATACATACATACATACATACATACATACATACATACATACATACATACATACATACATACATACATACATACATACATACATACATACATACATACATACATACAACAGCTTGACGCAAATGCTTGTTTCTGTCAGTAATTGTCAAATCCTGTTCACTACATACGATCGAATGTCAAAATGAACGACTTCCCGTACAGCCACAACTAAGCCATGTGTCTTGTCGATGCTGTTCTTTGACAAAGACAGGAAGCTGCATCGTACTTCAGAGTCCATTGTGCAATCAGCAGGCCAGCGCAAAAAACAGTGTCGATGAGCAATATCTGGTTTAGGAAGGCAATACATGCTTCGTGCTATTGGTTCTTGCAACAAGACGGACGCATCATTTGCGATCCTCATCAACTATCGAATCGATGAACAATTCACGACGACTTGCACGTATACGTAATGTGTCATGTGCGCTATCGCTGCAACCGGTTGAACCTTGTGGCAGGCGAGATCTTGATTTGTCAATATATTCTCTGTCGTGTAAACGCGACCGTCGAAGACCTTACACCATGCAAACGGCAATAGGAGAATAGATGGATACACTCCTATTGCCGTATGCCTTTGAGCACACATTTCACCACAAGTACGGCAACTACCGAGTTGCTGCACCGCACGTTCTGCTCAGATGCATATGCAGACATGACGTGTAAATGATTTACTGTTTGCAACGATTGTTGGATCCGCCACTACCAAGATACTATGTGGTGCAAACTCGGCCACTTAGTTGCATAAGACCGATCAGTTGCACTGGACGCATGAGTCGCATATACGGATGTGCGAAATGCGCCTACATTCGCTTCTACGTCGTGAGACTTTCACGACCAGCGGTGGATACGTAGATCTCAAGTGTCGCACATGCATTCATTCGGATCGTCTTTGTAAGCCACGTAGGCCAACTTCTCACTCACTCTGGAACACGTGATCGTCCCCATCGTTCAACCAGTTTTCTTCAGCATGTGATACGTTCAACACGGGTCTGCGGTTTGCAGTTTACGCTACCACGCATGAGGGATTCGATTGGCGCCGCTCTTACGATGATTGTGTATGAGGTGCATAGCGAGCAGACTCGACAGCTTTGGAGCTGTTTGTCAGAATGCTTCTGCGGCGGTGTTCATACGTATCGCGGTATCAGAAACTCTTTCGATGACTTACTCGCACGACGTACGAGTATATCGTGTACGTGTGCGGTCGCTAAGAGTCGACGTCACCATTCGGTGTAAAAGCGCTGACATGGGCAAAACGTTGCGTCGAAGGCAACTCCATAACCGAGGCACAGTGACTTGTGGTGAAGGTTGTCTTCACTTACTAGTAGCGGTACAGCTTCTTGCACGAGACTGCAGCTGCTTGGCAATACCAAGACCAGGTCTACAACAATAAGTGAGACGTACGTCTGTGTTATTGCTGCAATGATATATGCCTGTCTTGCTGCAACTTTTCTGCAGCGAGGTTGTAGTCAAGCTCATCAGGGCAGCGCACTTGATCGCCAAACGTCGTCGAGCTGGCTTGCCTCTGCTTTCGCGCGAAAACGAAACTCAGCCCGCCTTTTTCATCGCGCGATCCTTCCGGTTGTGGTTCGCGACTTTAGCCTTGTTCTTGTCTTTCCTTGCTCGCTGGCGCTGAATCTGCTGCGGCGTTAGTGCTTCGCTTGGCCTCGATTCACCACTTGGCTGACTACCTTTACGCCGAGCAGTTCTGTGCTTCGAGTCGGACGAAACCTGCGCACTTCCTGACGATGTGCCTGAAACCTTTTGCTCGCCCAAATCTTTCTCCTGTCCTCCATCATCGTCTCTTTGACGATCGTCAGCAGAGACCTGAGAGCTCTCACGATTGCGGTTCTTCATGCCTTCCCAGAACGCATCTTTCTCCTCTTTTGCCCGAATCTTGCGGTTCTGTTCGCGAATAGTATCCTGGTCATCTGCGCTACCGGCGTCGCGAATAGTGAAGCGCACAAAGTCGTCAAACTCGTCATTATAGTCGTCGTCGTATTCATCGAGTCCGCCCACAGCGTTGTCCACGCGATCCACGTCTCCGTCGCTATCATCCTCGTCCTCGTACGTCATAACTAGCTCCTTCATCTTCTCATACAGCTGCCCATCCTTCTTCACACTTTGGGGGTCGTACGTCTTTTCCATTGTCTTCTTGCCCACCCATACTTGGCTCGGATGAAGCATCGTCGAATGATCAGCCTCCACTTCAGGTGCGGCTTTCCCAGTAATCTGGGCCTTCAAGCGTGCAAACTCAGGGTCCGTTCGCTTTAGATCCTGTGACACGCCAAGCAGCATGGGCGGAGGATTGCGTTCGAGCAGGAAGTCGACCACGGTCTCGACTTGTACATTCGCGCTCAACAAACAAAGCTCAACGTATCCTTCTCCCAGATCAGGAAAAAAGTCTTGGACTTGATGGATCATTGACACCAGCACTGCGTCTGTCGTATCGCTCAGAGACACGCCAGGACTTGTCGCTTTACCGATACCACTGATCCCAGACGGCTTGCAGTCCTTCGAATCGATCACAGCTGTCGGTCTTCGCTTCGATTCTGCAGCCAAGTCGTTTACGAGCATCGCTGGAAGGATGCGTCGTCGCGGGAGTCCGTCCATCACCATGCCGAGGTACGCATAGTGCTCCAGATCAAACTCGCAACGCTGAAAGCAGGCTGCGACCTTTTCTTTGTATCCGCATAGATGCCACAAGTCGCTCACGAACGACCCGTGCTCTGCATTGCCGACTTCGTCGACGCAGCCATCGCTCAGAGCATGCAGTCCAGCCAGCAGCTTCTCGGCATCGATCGAGGTGGTCTCGTCCAGCATCACGTCCACGCATCGCCCCAGCACTTGCAACAGCGTCTGTCGAATCTTTGCAATCATCAGCAGATGCGGCTGCGTCGTCTTTCCATCGTCCAGGACGAGACCCAACTGTCGATGCAAAGTCGGCACCACCACTTCGTAGCACCGCACGAGTCCATAGAGCAGCGACTCGTTGTGCAACAACAGCTCGATCGGCCCGTCCTTGTGGTTGTTGTCGTTACTGTTGTGCAGCAGCAGTAGCAACTTTGTTACCGACGTGGCCGTTGTCATGCCATTTAGTGACAGACTCAGCTCGTAACAGCGTCGACTCAGCTGCGTAACATCTTGGTCCTGTTTTTGTACCGATAGCTGCACCGTACAATCGTACACGTCAGTAAGTTGCTGACAATACAGTTGCTGCACTTGTGTCAACAATGTCGAAAATGCAGCCACGTTTTCGACAAGTGCGTCTAAAAGTGCCGCGACCGCACGTGCATTGCTGACACGCAAGAGCTGACACAACGGGAGCAGCCGCGACACATGCAGCAGCCCACAGTCCACTGCCATCGCCAGCACGGCCGGCGCAGCGTATAGTAGACGTCGCACGAGCAACTCAACAGCCGCGACGTCCGCCGTGTCGAGCGCTTCGCCTCTACTGCTGTCGTTGCTGGCGCTAAGAAGAGGGTCCACCTGTATCTGTTGAGCAGTCGCACGTGTCAAAAAGTCATCGAGACGCTCGAGCAGCGGCGGCAAACAGTCGCTGCTCGAGAGGAACGTCAATAACTCGTTTGTCGTCGACGCTGTCGCAACGGGCGGCATGGAATCGTGTCAAAAACAGAACCACGAGGTCCAAAACGACGCAAAACCGATAAAAAAACCTCAACGACCGTCTTGCGGTATCGTCGTGCGTCCGTCCCGTGCGTTGGTCGGACATATTCGCGACACGAAACGCGCGCCGGTCGTCGGACACAAAAGTCGCACCTTCGCGTCCATCCGTCGGACACAAAAGGCGCACCTTTGTGTCCCTCGCGTCCTAATGATCCGCGTCGTGCGCGCGCCTCCGCGTCTCGCGCAGCGCCTCAGCGCTGCGACACGCGCCCACGGTCCATGCCACACACCGCCGCGTCTTGCGCCCGTGCTCAGCGCAAAGCCCTTCAGCAGTGCCCGTCGCTGGACGACAGACGACTCGGAGACAGCGCTCGCGCAGCAGCTGATGGACTGGACGACGCGCGCGACGGACGACAAGGCCGACGACATAATGAACGCCCAGGCAGCGTCGACCGTGCAAGCCGAGCTGCCCGTGAATGGCGTTGTAGTAGGCGTCCAGAACGGCCTGGCGCGCGTCTCGGGCCTGCGACATGCGGCGATCGGCAGCGTCGTGGCCGTGGCGGACGCGGAGGGCCAGTTTTTGTGTCGAGGCCTCGTGCTGTGTCTCGAGCCAAAGTGCGCGCAGGTGGCGTTACTGTCTGTCCGCGACACCGCACAAGCCCCGGTGACCAATGGCCTCGCGGTCACGCTCGAGCACGAGCAGCTCGAGATCAGCGGCAGCGTCGCTGCGTTTGCGGGTGCAGTGCTGGACCCACTGGGACGGGCGCTGCCGGACGGAGCAGACGCTGCGGCAGCTGCAGCAGCAAACGACCGCGTGCGCGTCACGTGGAGCGCGCAGAGTGTGCCGGGCGTTATAGTCCGTGCGCCACTGTGCTCGCCGTTTGCCACGGGCCTGCTGGCCATTGACTGTCTGCGGCCAATGGCTCATGGCCACCGCTTTGGAGTGCTGGGGCCGGTGAACTCGGGCAAGACGCGCGTCGCGCTGGACGTGATTGCGCATCAAATAGCGCTGGCGAAGGCCCGTCACGAGCGGCCGCCGCACTTTGTGTACGTGTGCATTGGCAAAAGCGCCGCGCGGGTTCGTCAGATTCGCGACGCCCTCACTGTGACGGGCGCAATGGAGTGCACGACTATTGTTGCGGCAAGCGATCGGGACTCGCTCGTGCTGCAGTACTTGGCGCCCTTCACCGGCTGTGCGATTGCTGAGTACATGATGCACAATGGCAACTCTCGCCAGAGCGTCGTGGTGTACGATGACTTGGCTACACACACAACTGTCGTGGAAGGATTGGTGCAGTTGCTGCGGCTGCCTCGCGCTGCGCAGATCAGTCTCAGTGCACACGCGGTGCTGATGGAACGCTCGGCTCAGTTTCGAGGCAAATCCGAGACGGAGGTCGGGCCGTCGCTCACGTCGCTCGTGCTGGTGAATGCGCTGGACAGTCTCGAGATTCCGTCGGAGTTTCAAGAGCGCGTGGCGTCGCTCGTTGATGACTTTGTTGGTCTAGAAACGTCTCTTGCGCAGCGTCGGGTGTTCCCGCCGGTGGACGTGCTGGCACCTGGACCATCAGTCCGCGGTCCACCGTTTCAGTCGGCAACGCGCTGGACATTTGTGAGTCGTCTGCGTGCACGTATCAATGCAGCTGCGCAAGTCAAGCACAATGTGGAGGTCGCGCGCAAGCTAGGTTTTGAAACCGAGCCGCAGGACGCAGAGAGGCTGGAATATCTGGAGCTTGTGCAGCAATTTTTCTCGCAAAAGCCTTTGCTCGCATCGATGACGCCTGGATCGCAAGGCACGGCAGTGACAGAGCTGGAGATCGAGCTGGGTGTGTACTTCTTGACTATTGTAGACGTGGTCCAACTTCCTGGCAGTGCAGGTGGTGAGGGGACACCATTGAACCTGTGGGAGTTTCTGCGTGACGTCGTGGCCAGGCTTTCTCGAAAGGAAAGTCACGATATCTTGCAGCAGCTGACTACACACCCACGTACGAAGGCATGGACGTTGGATCTCCAAAAGAACGTGGCGTCGGCGCTCTGTGAGGAGCTGGAGGCAGTCAAGCTGCGACGAGTGCAGGGAACAGCAGCAAGTAGAGTGTAAGTACTACTCGCTTCAGTGTCAGGTACACGGAGCTAGACAGAGTGGCAAGTAGGTCTACCGCGCCGAGCTCCGTGCGATTGATTTTTGATGCAGCAGTCTGCTGGGAATGGCTAGCCAATGGTGCGATGAATGTCGACTGTGTGAAGAGTAAGAGCATTGTAAGGGATGGTTGTGCGTTTCGTGTACGCTTTTGTCGCGTGCACTTCTTGCATCGTGAGGACGAAGAATTTGAACATCAGTGCGTGGCATTAGTGGTCGAGTATGTTTGAAGAGACACGACGAAGTGGACATTCCCGAAGTCGTCTGATACTTGCAGAGCCCGACCAAATTTCCGCTGGGTGTATTGCGACGGAAGGCATATGTGAAGAATACATATTGCTGAAACGGCCTCTGTACACGCCATCGACCGCAACAACAAAGCTACTGGGTTACGAAATGCACTTGCTGCCTCTCACCTAGGGACGTTCCAGCCAGTTTGAGTACATCAGCTTTGTCGCATGAACCCCACCCAGTACTTGCCGACGAGGAACCATCATCCACACCGTCACCAAAGCAATCGTATTGATTGCACGAAAGTTGTACCGGAGAGCTTGCGTTCGTCCGAGATGCAAGTGGCAACTAGTTGACATCCAGACTAAGCTCAATTGTGCCTTCCAGCGAATCGAAGCAAAACCTGTACGCCACTGAATGCACAGCTGCTGCACTAGCAGCTCCAGATGACGCAGACCGCAGAAAACGAACGAGCTGTTTCGCATAGCGCACAGCAGGACCAGTCGCCACCACGTGATGGCCTGCCATATCTAAGACGTATTCCACCCACACGATCACTGCATTTGCTGCCGAGTCCTTGAGGCTAATGGTTCCGTTCGTTGCGACCGTATGTGCTGTCAACATGAAGTCCATGGCTGCAAGCTCTACCACGTCCGATGCTGGTTCGTGGGGATACATGTAGACCGGGAATGGAAAGTCGCGCCCATGGTATCCGTCCTGAAACCGGTCGAAGTAGCTGTGGTCAAAGCCTGATACATTTCCTACTGCTCCAAAGCATTCGTGCAAGTGCTCGAAACGCACAGCCTGAGCCAGCACTCTTGCACGGGCAGGCAGTACACGGCTTTTCGGATGCAACAGGCCATCCACCGCCGAGCGTCGCAGCCAGAAGTTGAATGCTTGCCAGAGCGGGAGGTTTTGCATCGAGTAGTAAAAGGGTTCGCCCACGAGCAGGTCGACGCTCGGAGGTGCACCTTGGAGATGTTCAGGTAGCAAACCCTTCACGCCGCTGTTCAGCACCTTGACCTCAGCTGCATTGTGGGTCACGATCTGATCGAAAATCCGTGCTGACACCTCTTTCGACTCGATTGAGGTCACGCTCGACACCTGCTTGTGCATCGCAGCCAGCAGTGCAACCAGCGACCCATCGCTGATATCAAGACAGGAGATCGGGCGCAAAGCTTCCTGTTGCGTAAGCTCGGCGATGCTGGAGGAAACTGCTGCTGTGTAGGCTTCGCAACGTGCAGAGTCCGTGAGCATGGCAACACGCTCGGCGTTGCAGATGAGGTGCATCCCGCAAGTACACGGAGGTTTCTCGTCCATGATTGCACGCTGTGTTTCACCGAGAGAGTCCTTCTTCGCTGGAACAGCTTCAACATCGAACCAAATGTGGACATCGTCGTGGTGAGCGCGCAAGATCAGGTTCTCGCTCGGTCGCGTTTGAATGTTCTCCACAAGCGGAAACACGACCTGGACCCAGTGATCCTGCCAGTTCATTGCACCTGCTTTCGTCGAGTACACGACACTGCTATCGTCCCTACTGAAGCTCACCTCCCACCACATGAGCACAGCCTGCACCTTTCCAGCCTCGCACACGTCCACTATTGTTTCACGAAAGTCATGCGTGCCAGTCGTCTGCTTCGTAAAGTCAAACGTCAGCACCTCTACCGGTTTCGTCAAGAACGTTGCGTCGTTTTCCAGAGCCTGGAAATGCACTGGCAGTGCCGGCTTCCCACCTTTGCATTGCCACGCTGAGTCACTTCTTGCGAGAACTGCTTGTCGCAGCTCCCCCGCACATGTGTCAGAAGACTGCAACGGAACGTCAAAGCTATTGAAGTGGTAGATCGACTCGCTCTCGATAACTTGGGCAAACACTGTCGCCCGTTCAGGTACAATGACAGCTGTGGACGTCAGTAAATGCTGCATGGCATGACGAATGGTTGGCAGCACCGCTTCTCCGAGCAACGCCGAGTCAAAGAGCTCCGACACGAGCATATCGGCTCGTCGGGGCAAGTGGTACGTCGTACTGGGCTCCCTGTCTTGCGCCTCTGCTGGCTGCACGCGCAAGTCCGTCGAGCGCAGCTTGAAGACCGTGATCGTGTCTGGATAGTTCGCGGCGGTCACTTGTTCGGCAATGGCTGCCATGGGGACAAACATCTCGCACGCATACACGTGCGCAGCTCCGTGTCGAGCCGCCAACATAGCAAGTAGCCCCGTTCCTGTGCCAATGTCCAGCACAATGGGCGCTCGGTGGTGCTGCGCCTGGAAGCGTGCAATGGCCTGTTGGATGCCACGTTCGTAACACGTGTTGCGGTCGGTATCCCGTAGCATGGACGTCATTTGGGACATGGCGACAACGTTCGCGTACACGTCGGACGAATGGCTCTGCTCGATCCACATGAGACCACCTGCTTCGGGGTTCAATTGGGCGCTCAAGAGGACTGTGGAGACGCCCGAGACGAGGGAGTGTGGATCTGTTTCGTCCACGAGGTACGAATAGGGCACATCCACTACAACAGTCTCTTCGGCCGCCGCCGTCTCAATTGCTTCTTCAAGTGACACACCAGAGGCAGGTGGGGCATCGGAAGCACAAGAGGCGGTCGCTGTGGCGCTGCTGGTGCTGGTGTTTGCATGGCTTTCGCCGACTAAAGTGCCTCCGTACTTGTCGATACCCGCGTACATGAGCGATGGCTACAGGTGGGTGGAACAATGGTTGGCGGGACGCGTTTGTGTGAAATGGCTACACTTTATGCATCGGGTCGGTTTAGCACGACATGGTGTCGGGGTTGCAGCACATTCTATGCTGTGTGGCGCGCGTTTGTGAGATCGAAATCTCGGGCGCGCAGGAAGTCTGGATGCGACGACGGATAAATATAGCGAGGATAAGAGTGTGTCTGACACGGTGTATTTACAGGATAGCTGATGTTGCGATGACGATGCCAAAAGATGAGCGGCTAAACCTCACGATTGACAAAGCAGGGACTCAGCATTACGCCTCTGAGCCAACAGCTTCTGTTTTGCAGGAAGTGTCGCGAATAATTTTTGAGCGAGCGCTCGTAAAAATGGGCTTCTAGAAATGTGCTTACTATGTGAACATCGGATGTAGCCATACCTGTCGCCTAGCGCTGGATGACGAAAGTCCCGGTGAAACACGCTGCACACGACATGTTGGAAGCGCTTAAAGAAGACGGACACATGCTGATCATCTATCTGCTTGCCAACGTTTCTTCCCTGAATCAGATGGGAACATTCGACACACACCATACACGACCGATGGAAAAGTAGCAGCAGCAACAACAACAACAGCGCTTTAGAAATCGATATCCAGCGACTTTCATTCAGCTAATTCAATACTTTCGCCAGCTGGTTCAGTGGATCCCGAGAGTCGGAGAAGCTCCGTTTGATACGATGAAATCTTTGAAGCAAATCTGTGACCAGTATGCAAACTTGAGGACGTAGAGCTCCTTCTTACCGACCAGGCAAAACGCTATTGCGTCCTTCTCCTTCATCTCCTCCTTCCCCTTCTTCAGTTGATGCGATGGTGTCGACTAAAACGCTGTCAAAGCAGCAGTCAAAGCCACGACCAACTGCAACACAATGAGGAAGCGAGCGGTAGTTGATCCAGCAGCACTCGAAGATGCACTCGTCGGTCCAGACGCAGCAGGTCCAGTATGGTCGTGGTCGTGGTCGTGGTTGTGGTCGTCTGCCAGAGTGCCATTCGCACCAACAAAAGTTGCGTTGGTGCCGTTCGTGCCACCGACTTGAGCAGTCAGGTCAGCCGGGTCAACCCCGTCGCCGTGGCAAAAGTCGTCGAGCAGGACGTACGGGTCGAGATCCGTCACGGGGCCGAGGCCGAGAGTGGTGTAGCACCGACGTGTCTCGTCTTCGGTCAGCAGGTGCAGCGCATCGTGACACGCGCCGTCGTTGCACTTGAGCTGCGAGATGTCTGCGAGCGAGTCGCACGCGGTCCTCGCCGCCGTGAGAGATGCAGCAGTGCAACTTGGTGGACTCGCGTCTTGGGCTGCAATTGGCGCAGCTGCCAGTGCAGCGAGTGCAATGGTAGCGGCGGCAGTGATCGATTTCTTCATATAAAGGAGCGAGAGAGAGAGAGCGAGAGAGAGAGGAGGAAGAGGACGGAGATCGTTGACGATCAAGTTGGAAACTGCTTGGCCCGTGGTCACGGGATCATGGACCGACCGAGTTGCTGGACGCGAGAGGAAGAGAGAGAGAGACGAACAGAACTGCCGCCATCGGATAAGTGAGACAGCTGATACCCACGAGAGGTGACTGTCCCTCTCTCCCTCTCCCCGTTGCCGATTCGGTAATTGTGCAGTACCGCCGTCGGAGTTCCACTCGAGTAGCTGCTGGCAAACAAGTCGACGATGTTATAGCTGCACGTGCCGTCACATGTGCCGCGTCGCATGCAGTAGAAGGAGTAGTAGTAGTGGTAGTAGTAGCAGTAGTAGCAGGTGATTGCTAGCAGGTTGTTAGGTGGCTGTCTGTCGCGTCCCCTTTTGTCATTTTCTCCATGTCAAAGGGCGCAAGTCAGTCGCCCATTTCGAGTGACTTGTCACGACGACTACCACGTACGACACGCGCTCATCTGCGCTACTACTTTTGTCGCAAGGCGTCGTCGGCTACGCATGTGATGATTTGATTCAGAAAAATAGCGCCGCACCCGTCTGGCTCTACTCCCTCTGAGTGTATCAGTGCAGTCGAGCAAATACGGGGCAAAAAGCATCCGACCGCCCGAATCTGCATCAGAGACGGTAATGTCACCGTAAAACGTCACCGTCGGACAAGCAGTTGGCCTGCTGCGGACCGCCTCGACCTGTCTCGATTCCGATCCGGTGGTTCCGGTCCAGTCATACGTGTGCATCAGTTTTCTTCATTCGACGTCCCGCAGACGTCCCGTAGTCGCGATGTCTCGTGGTGTACTTCTTCGCTCTCTCTTGTGTGCACTGCTGTTGAGCGCGTGTCCACTCTCTTCGCTTGTTGCAGGACAAGACGAAGTCGTCGACGAAGAAGTAGAGTGCAGTGGTCACGGCAAACTCCATGGCAACCACTGCCATTGCCAGGTCGGCTTTGACAGTCAAGGGACCGAGTGCGTAAGCGCCAATTCGGCCTCGTGTCCAGCTGGCGGTATTGCGTGGGAACTATCGATGGTGCTTTTGCTCGAGAACGGGACGTACGAGCTCTCTTTTGTCGACAATTCGGAAAACATGGCCGTGTTTGTGCTTTCCATGAACGTCCCAACGACTCGAGAAGTGGTGCTCGAGGACCTCGAGGCGTCGATTGATCAGACGTCGCTCTTGCTGGACAACGTGGCGCTGCCTCGACAGCTTGTCAAGGCGTCGCGGGCCATTGTGCCGACCGACCAATTGCTGTACATTATCCAGCGCAACAACGCAGACGAACTCGCTGCATTGCGCGTCGAGTGTGAAGCCAACCCGAACAACACGTGGCACATTGACCACTGTGACGGCTCCGTCGGACATAGCCACCGCCGTCTTGCTGCGATGGCGATCAACTTGGTGGTGAACCAGACGGGGTACTATGCTTTCCACATGCAGCACAATGCGATCGAGGAGTTTGGCATGCAAGTGCGTGACAAGGACGGACGCGAAGTCGAGTTCGAGCTCGCTTCGGAAGCAGATGCGTCAGGTGAGATCGAAACGTCGACACCGAACAGGAAGGCGTCAGCGTCCGTATGGGGGAAGACCATGGGCGCTGTTGCGATCGTGGCCATTCTCTCGATCGTCGGTATCTTCCTCCTCATCCTTCGCATCTCTGCGCTGGACAAAATGATGGATGCCATGGTAGCGCTGTCGGCCGGAGCGCTCTTCGGTGCTGCTTTCCTGCACATCTTGCCGGAATCCATCGAGTTCTACAGCGAGTACGGCCAAATGGACCTCACCTTGAGCTCCATGTTCACGTTTGGATTTGTCGTTGCTATGGTCGTCGAGATGGCGCTTGAGCTCTGGATGAGCAAAGTCCAGACCAGTGACGCGGATACGAATCTGCCGTCGTCCGCGCGCTTGAGCTCATCGATGAACGAGACGCCAGCCAAACAGTCCGAAATCTCCGAGACGGGCGACTACTCAGGCAGGAACTTGCCCATCCTCGCTGGGCGTGAGTCCACGAGTGCATCGCCCTTCAGTCTGGCCGTCAACTGGCGAGCGATCAAACCGATGGCGTACATCATCCTCATTGGTGACCTGTTCCATAACTTTGTGGACGGCGTGCTCATTGCAACAGCATTCCTCGCTTGTGACGATACGCTCGGGGTATCAGTGACCGTGTCGTCGATTCTGCACGAGCTGCCGCAAGAGTTTGCCGACTTTATCATTCTCGTCGAGTCGGGCTTTACCCCGTTCCAAGCCGTGCTATTTAATTTCCTGAGTGCGCTCACTGCATTCATTGGGGCTGCTGTGGTGCTGGCAGCTGTGCCCGTGACGAACGAGACCATGGGACTGCTCCTTGCTGTTGGATCGGTAGGTCACCAATGCGTACTGATTTAAGCGTTTTCGAGGCACTAACTTGTCTACACTATTGTCTGAAAACAGGGTACGCTCGTGTACATTGCGGGCACGGACCTACTGCCTGGAGTGCTGCGTGTCAAGACGTTTGGCCAGTTTATCGTGCACCTTGTCATGTTTGCAATCGGCGTTGGGGCACTAGCGCTTACGACGTTGCATCACGTGCATTGCAACGCCGACTGAACTGGAATCGTGGCGGTCAACGTCCATATGGCTCGCTTTATTATGACAATGGATGATGGCCAGGCGATTGCGTTTGGTGCTTCGGTTGCAGATGGGTTGGCGTTCGACACGGAAGTTGCGCGGCGCAGGTTGAGATACTGCTGGCGGGTAAATAGCGTTCTGCGCTGTGATGCGATCGCGAGACTGCGCGTCGGCGTTCTGTCGTATGCTGTATTTATGAGCTCTTCGGTCCGAAATAGATAATCTTATGCCATAGTTATTTGATCCATCCGCAGCTGTAAGCGTCGTGTCTCCGCCATGACGCCCTGACTGCTAGTCATTGTGGACAATGGCAGCGTAAGACAGTCTGTTCTTATCCTATCTATTGCAGAATAACGATTGATGTCAAATTTAGGTCGCGTGAAGAAAATCGCGCGAGCATTTCCCAGCAAAATTCGCGCTTCGTATTTTACAACACCTGTGGAGTTGATGCAATTGAGCAGGTCAAAAGTCAGGGCGAGAGGGAGATGGTAATTGGACGTTTGGCGACAAAAATGAGGTCAAGTTTCGTGAATGAAGCGCTTCGGGAATCGAATGCTCAGACGCCGATCAGATTTGACATTGAGTTTTCGAGGAAGTGAAACTTGTGGATTGCATGTCACCTATCAGATGTGTTTGAGAAAGCCATATCATCTTTGCTCTTGGCAAAGAAGGGCCAGCTGTGTGACTACGTATCGATGCTACTTGCACCGCTCTCTTCGATTAGTTGTGGGCTTCGTGGATGGAAACGTGGAGAAGCATGTGCAGGGTTACATCTGATGGATTGTTGCGGCGATTGTTGTACACACTAAAGGAAGTGATCGAAGTCTTTCAAAATGCACAATGAATATATTCAGGTCCTTAGTTCACTTCCTCCTGTTGCTACTCTAACCCTGCTGGTTTCGCTCTGACTTTACGTTAGTTATCGTCTAGTCGCGTATTACTAACCGTCTGGTCGTACGTTTATAATGCAGACAGTGTGTTTATAACAAACACTGAAACGTACTAAACGTGGGGGACGTCACTATCTGGCAGGACAGTGCTGGTGAACCCGGCACACCAGAACCCGAAGGTTTTAACTTTCATTGCAGTCACTGGAGATCGAAGCAGTGACCTTTCGCGTGTTGCTGCCACACCGTACCACTTGATCTACAAGCTCTTGCGCGAAAACACATGCCGAGGCGCACATTTAACAACACACACGACTCGCCTCGGCAGAACTTAGCACCTCGACACCCAGCATGTCTCGTAGATGCTAAAACTGGACTGCTGGGATTGGCTTGGTCATCAGGTCGGCCTTCATGTCCTTAGTCGAGCAGTATTCTAGCACCAATATTCCTTCAGCCACTTTTTCGAGCGCAAAGTGATACCGAAGGTCAATGTGCTTGGTCCGCTTATGAAACTCAGAATTCTTGGCCGAAGCGATGTATTTTCATTTTCTTTGTAAATCTTTATTGCTTCATCTCTTTTCATCTCGCCGAGCTCACATAAGAAATCCTTTAGCCAAATTGCTTCTTGTGCAGCTTCTGTCAAAGCCATACACCCCGCTTCCGTAGACGATAGAGCCACAGTGCTCTGTTTCTTAATTCTACAGCTTACGCACCCATTGTTCAATACGAAAGCATACCCGCTTGAGCTTCTTCGTTTCTCCACGTCTCCGGACCAGTCTGCATCGGAGTATCCGTACACTTTGTCATTGTTTGCTGCTTGGTACTCAATTCTATACGTCTATGTGCCTTGAATGTAACGGAAGACCCGCTTGAGAGCTTGCCAATGGGTAGTACAAGTGTCTGCTGAAAACTGACTTAGCACTCCCACTGCAGCTGCAAGGTCTGGGCGTGTACCCACCATAAGGTACATCAATCAGCCGACGGCATTGCGGAACGGCACATTTGCCATCGTTTCTTCATGCTTGCACCCATCCACGCACATTGGCCTTGTCAGCTTAAGTCCTGGTTCTTGCGGAGTTTTGACAGGATTACTGTTTTCCATGCCGAATATGTCAAGAATGTCTTTTGCAAATTTGGACTGAAAAATTGAAGTCTTTCCAGATGATAGATCTTGAATGACTTCCATCCCTAGGAAGGCCTTGAGGTCGCCAAGATCCGTCATGTCAAAGCGCTCACTTATTGCATCCTTGGTGGATATAATCAGCTCGGTATTGTTGCTTGCGAGGACCAAATTATCGACGTATAGCGCCACAAAAATCACGACCTCGATCTCGCTTGATATAAATGCAATGGTCGGTCTTGCCCTTCTGAAACTTCAAGTCCAGCATAAACTTGTTTATGGTCTGGTGTCACATCCGTTGTGACTGCTTCAGATCATAAAGAGAGCGCTTTAGTTGGCACACAAAATCCGGATGAGACTCATCGACGTATCCATCCGGTTGCGCCATGTAGATGTCTTCTTCAAGTTGTCCATTTAGAAATGCTGTCTTGACGTTCATTTGGTGGATCATGAGAGAGTGCTTTGCCGCCAAGCCAAGCAAGATTCTGATGGATGTGACCTTGGCCACAAAAGCGAAGGTCTCGTCATAGTCGATGCCATGTTTCTGTAAGAATCCTTTGGCGACCAAACGTGCTTTGAATCGCTCATTTTGTCAATCCTTGATCTCCTTCACTCGAAAAATCCATCAGTTGTCTATTGCCTTGCAACCCTTTGGAAGCGGCACGAGATCCCATGTCTGATTGTGGTGAAGGGTATTCATTTCAGAGTCACAAGCCTCTTTCCACTTGACTGCGTCGCTGGATTCCATTGTAGACTTGAATGTCGTAGGTAAATCTCCCACCGAATCCACGATGTGGGCAGCTTTAATAGAGTGACTGGTATCAGCCGTCGCAGACAACTCGGCCATGATAAGGTTTCTAGCTCGGCGTTTCGCCTCAGGAGCGTTGGCTAGGGCCTCCAGTGACTGTGCGCGTTGGTGCCTCTTACCGCCGGGTTCATTGACGCCACCTGTTGGAGACTCTTCATAGTTCATGTTGCCGATGTCATGAGAAGAGTAGTCCTTCATAGGCATATCCTCATCTTCCATTAAAGCGTCGTCTTCGACGATAGCTTCATCTTGTCAATAGTCGCGTCTCCCACTGTCGAAAATGTTCTCCATGAACTGCGCGTCGCGACTGACCAGTACACGACGACTCTTGATCTCCTCGAACCGGTAAGCTTTTTCATGGTCGGGGTATCCAACAAACCGACAGTGAATCGACCTTTCATCGATCTTGGACCGCTTTGGCTTTGGATTGGGCACATACACGTATGCATGGCATCCGAAAACTTCCTGGTTTTCAAGAGTGGGTTTCTTACTACTCCATACTTCGCAAGGAGACTTGGCATGACTTGTGGAACGAGTTGGATATCGAAGACGTAGAAAGTTCGCTGTCATGACTGCCTCACCCCAATACGACTTGGATAACTCGGCATGTTCCATCATGCAACGAGTGCTTTCCACCAAGGTCCGATTCATCCGCTCGGCGACACCGTTTAGTTGAGGCGTGTAAGGCCGTGTAAACTTCTGCGTAATTCCATGGTCCGCACAGAACTTCGACATAGTTTTTGAGATGTACTCGCCACCATTATCGCTTCGAAGAGTGTTCACACGCTTGCCAGTTTGGGTTTCCGCCAACGCGACGAATTGAGCGAACTTGGTAGCCACTTCAAACTTGTTTCGAAGCAGGTACACCACACAGTAGTGTGAGTATTCGTCGATAAATGTCACGAAATACCGCTTGCCACTGAAGGTAGGAGTCTTCATGGGGCCACACACATCGCTATGGATGACCTCCAGCAACACACTCGCTCGGTCGGGGGACTCAGGCATATATTACACACGTGTTTGCTTGACGAGGGCACACCCTTCACAAAACTCCCACTTCTGCACCGACTTCATGTTGATTCCGCTGTCGTAATTCTTCTTGACGATGGTATCTTGACCGCCATGTCCGATGTGGCCAAGTCGAAGATGCCGAAGGTACGAAGTGTTGTCTTCTTTGCAGCGTGTCGGACCTGCCACATTGACCTCTTCAGGAAGCTCCGGTGTCATACAAAGCTTGAACAACCCCTTTCCTTCAAAAGTGCCGAGTTTCCACTTGAAACCTTTCGTGTCCGCGTAGCAACCATCGACTTCAAAAGTGACAGGCCCAACGTCCGTGATAAATCTTGCCGCCAAAATCAAGTTTCGAGGTAATTTGGAATATGCCACACATTGGTGAGCACACCCTGCTTGACCCCTTGACGAGTCCTCATCGACATGACAATGTCACATTTTCCAATGGCTTGTACAAAACCATCATCAACAAAATGCACATCTACTGGGCCGAATTCCTTGTAGTTCCTCATGAACTCTTTCGAACTTGTCATGTGCTTCGTCGCACCCGAGTCGACCAGCCACATCTTACTCGACTTGGATGTTCCACCGCCAACCGAGGTAATCGCAAGCTCCTGTTCTTGCGCGATGTTTGCACGATAAAATCTCTGACGTTCAGCATTTTCCTGGATCCGCGAGGGGTATTCTTCAATACAATGTCCTTGCTTTTTACAATTATGGCACGCACCGGTCTTCTTTACCGGTCGAACATTGCGCTTGCTATCCCTTTACATGAAAGCCTGAGCTTGAATGTGCGCGGCTCCTTCGATTCCGCAACCTTTCTCCTTGCGCTTCATGTCTTCATGCATTAGCCGAGATGGTACCAATTCTCACGACAGCGAGTCGGCTCTCGACTCCAAATCTGTTATTAGGAACTGGTACGACTCGCTAAGGCTGGCCAGAAGCGTGATGACCAAATCGTTTTCACTGGCCGTAGCCCCGACTGCGTCAAGTTGCTCCGCCAGGGTCTTGAGTCGATTGATGTGCTCCATCACATCATCACCTTCTCCCATCATCGTCGTGAAGAAAAGGCGACGAAGGAAGAGCTTATTGTCCAAGCTCTTCTTCTCGTAGTGTTCTTCCAGACGTGACCATGCATCAAACGCGTCCTTCG